GTGAGAGAGAGATGGGTTTTAGAGAGAGATGGAGTTTGGGTTTTAGATAGAGATGGAGTTTTAGAGAGAGAGAGATAGTCATTTCATAAGTTGTTGAGGTCAATAATACATGGTCAAAAGGGTTTAGGGGGTTCGAAGATAGCAAAGATGGAATCCTTTTGCTTACAAGTACTATTTTCAATTCTTGGGTGTGATGAGAAATAGAAGTTAAAAATAGGGGATAATAAGATATTTTCCCAAATATAAATGAGTCCAATGCAGAAGGAATAATAATATTCTAACTAGCAAAAAAACATTACAACAAATGACAGAAACAAAAGAGATTCCTTGGGCCACATCAACCATATTCAAGCACAACCCAAACTTTCCAAAACCAAATAGGGCACATTCTTGAATTATGAACACGAAGAAATAACATTCTTGAAGTATGAAAATTGATAAAAAAATTCAAATAAAAACAGAAACTATGAGTTGAAGAGTTACATACAGGACTAAATGATGCTTCTTCTAGATGATCACAACCATCCAGGAAAACTTGCTGGAGATTTGAGCACGAAAGATGTAAACAGGTCATGGCACGGCAACCAACAAGTGAAAGACTGACCAGTGAAGTACTTTTAAGTACAACTCTTGCCAAACTCTGTACAAGGAACATAGATAATATTCTGTTAATCAGAAACATTCTTTAAAATTATACTAGATTACATTATCTAGTAAATTTTAATATGTAACATGTACAAAACAAGAGTACATAAGTATCCAAATTTTGTTGAGTACAATTATAAAATACTCTATAGTGTGAGCACCCTAACATAACCCTTTAATATTTTGGCTATTCAAAGATGCTTGGAATGTTTGTGCTATTTTCCTAGGGAAAAAGTTTGACATGCCATAAAACAATTCAAAATCAACATCGGATAACCCAAAACAATCTATCCAGAGACTTGACGAAGTAATCACAGTGTCACACAGTGAAAAAAAAGGAGACCTTAACCCTTGACATACAGCTCAATGCAGAACTGAAAAGCAAAGTCCAGCAACACAGTAAATGTCACTCCAACAAACCAATATTAGCATATGAAATCCAACATAGCACAAAAATCTTGTGCACATAGAAAGCTTTCAATTTTATACCCCTCCCATGGGTACAATACTACAAGTAATCTCAGAAAAGCATAAGGAGAAAGAACAATACAGACAACAAAGGCAGCTGCAAACCTCACAACTGTCGAGAACCAATGACTTGAGATTTGGACAACCACCACCCTCACTGAAAACTTCACAAATGGCATTTGTCAAGGATTCACACTCAGTGAGGTCCACCTCTTGCAAACGGCGACATTGCAAAGACACGGTGGTCAAATTTTCCTGCTTCTGCAGAACTAGTTTCTGCAAAAAAACCGATACAAACATTTCAACTCAGTCCAAGAAGCCCACGTTTTTAAGAGCACAAAATGAGCTGGTAATTAATACATTTATGATACCTGTAGAGAATTTGATGTGATGCTGATCCGGTTAAGCACGGGACAATTAGAAATCGTAATTGAAGAGAGAGAAGGACATCGCAAATTCAAATCTACAAATCTGCATAAACAAGCATTCAAAGTACCAATAAAAATTGGGTACACAATTTAAAAAGGATCAGCAAGTAAGGGGAGATATACTATAGCTAAATGGACTATGGAGCATCAAATTCAATAGGGGTCATCATCGTCCAATAATGAGGAATAGGATCATATCCTAGTCAGGTGGATCCCTCTATCTCTATAATCAATTTCATTGCAAGTTAATGGTCGCTATAGACAGTGACCTCCATTAGTTGAGATTAGAGTAAACTTCCTCGAGACAAATATAGAGAGAAGCAGGTAACGTACTTGCGACAGTGGACCAGACTAATACACCGCAAGCGTGGTAAGTCTAAATTGACTGAGGTTAACAGCCAGCAGCAGTCCAGCTGCAACGCCTGCAAAAGTTTCATTTTGGGGATGTAAATAATGTCAGAATTAGTCAGAACAGCCAATCAGAATTCAAATAAATTTAAACAAGATTTTACAAACCTCCAGCAATGAACAATAAGATATAGCAGCCATTGAAGCAGAGTTGATACCCTCACAGCTATGAAGCTTCAGATTTGTCAGCATTGGCAGCCTTACAAACTACAAGCAGCAGCAGTGGAATCATGTGAGATAAAGATAAAAGGCCACTGACTGCTATGGCCTAAACCAAAATTAGCATAACAATCCGAACCCAGGATTTCCACCAAAATCAACAAATGTTGGAGCAAATTTTTCTTTCTAAATGGGCCAGCACCTTTTTCATAAATTAAAAAGAACCGCCACCTACAAACAGTTTTGAAGATCTCTCAGATCCTTATGTTATACTTCACCCAAATCCGATGAAAATCGACCATAACTAAAAATTAGGCCATAATTCAAAATTTGGTCTTTTCTACTTCGAAAATTTTCTCTATTTTCTAGAATACCAGAGCCATATTTCAACCATAAATCAGATCCAGATTCCAGAGTCCAAAACTCCAAATCTCTGCTAAAACTGGAAGTATAAACACAAGTAGTCATAATGCCTCAGATGCAAACTGACCTCAAGAGAGATATTAGGACAATAAGATGCATCAAGAATGCTGAGATTTGGACAAGCAAGTGCGATTTCTCGAAGAGTTTCATCACTAACACAAGAACAATTCGACAAATCCAGAGACGTCAACAATGGACATGATGTTGCAGCTGAACGAACTGAAGCATCAGAAAGTTTATGGCAGGAGGCCACATCCAACCAGCGAAGCTGAGGACAGTTTAACATTGCATGTCCCATGTTTGTGCGCTTTAGAGACACTCTCTCTAGTTGCGAGCACCTGCATGCAACAATTTCTCAGCAGTGAACAGTATAAAGTCTGCTGAAAAACATAAAAAAGAAAGAAAGAAACTAGGTCACATGCCTCAACATCTAAGTTTCAGGTAAGCACCAGGTATTGCCCTAAGATTTCAAGTTTCTGCACCACCATCATAAGCTATGAGGGTGTTTCAGGTACAATCCTCATAACACCTCACCCCAACCCCCCAAAAACCTCCCCTTCCCCACCCCCCACCCAACAGAAAAAAAAAAGCACAAAGAAAGAAAACAGAAAACGAGAAAAAACGCAAGTAAACTTTACTTTTTCTTTTACCTGATTGAAATACGTATTACACGACACTTTATTATCTCAAGATGGCGCAATCTATCGTGATAGATAGGTATCTCCTGAATACTATTTCCGAGAGTTGCATCGGTGATGCTTAACCTGTCCAACACTGGGCAATCACCTATAGTATGGAAAAAAGCATCACCCAACTGTCCTTTCCCTAATATCAGAACTTCGATATTCCTGGAGGTGACACAACAATATGAGCAGTCTTTATCAATGCCCTACGGAAAAAGGGACAGGAATATGGGAGAAAAAACAGCACCTACCTTAGAGAGTTCATTGCATCTCGAGCGAGTATATCGACGGATGGAACACCCAAAATGTTCACTTCTGTGGCATTTGGATACCTGTAACACATTTCCCTGACTGCATGCATCAAAAATTACAAATCACCATGTAAATAATCCTGAGAAATTTGGCATGCCATAGAACATTGGGTAAATTAAACTTTTCCATGCATTGATTAATCCCTAAAGACCCAACTGGCAAGACATACATTGCTGATGGGAGATGTTCCTATTTTCAAAATTTAGACACCTCCAAAAGTCTTCGTGAGCACTGGCTGCTCGCCATTGCCTACATACTCTAGCAGCTCGGCAGAGATTGATATGATCCAAGAAGGAGAACACCTTAAATGACAAAAGGAAATTAGAAAGTGTGAGAGCAATAACAGGAGCAGATTAGTGATGTCAAGCAACTATTAAAAAAAATTAGACTTAGAAGAGAAGAAACACATAACATACCATGTGCAGCAAGTCATCAGTGAGATCCATCCTAACTTCAAAATCCTCACTGTTTGAAGGAGTACCCTCATCACCATTATCACCACCCCCACCATTGGAATCCATAGGTTCTCTACCATCACCATCATCTGATGTTGAGTTTAGGTAAAAGACCATGTCATTTCCAGGTGGCACAGACGCGCCTTGAGAAATACCAAGACCTGCATTGACAGGTGATCCAGATGTGCCAGAGCCTGAGGAAGCCAGGGCAACATACCGACAGGCCCTGAGAAAAAGCAAACACCAGCATTAGCATATTTTTATAGAATCCCACACAATGTGATACTAGTTTCTCTTAAAGCAAACCATAATATTATTGAATTTTAGAAATGCAACAGTACTCATTTCCAGTCCACTACAGAACAGAGCTGCTTGAACACAATCTCAGGAGGGAAGTTGGCAGATACACTCTCCAACTCTACATACAAGATATTTGAACACAAAATGCTACTCTCCTCTATTTGCATATCATTTTCTGGGCAAGGTTACTTTCTGTCATTTGCAAGGTGCAACGAAGTATTGAATCATAAAGAGTTGAAATTCTCCAGGATTGATTGTCCCTTTAAGCTCTATTTCCATCAATAAACCCTTACAAATGACAAAAAAATATCACAAGGACCTATTTGCAATATGAAGCAAGGGCGTTTTGTATCATGAATTTTTTTCTGAAAGAATCACGGAACTAGCACAAATGGAGAATGTTGATCCCTCTGTGTGTGCATACATATTTGTCGAACTTGTTTCTTTTTGTTTTATTTGTACCTAACTTATGGTTACAAACACAAAAGAAATAGAGCTATCACTAGTTTAATTGTATTCATGTGCATCTTATAATTTGAAACTAGGCAGTTACTGTTGATTCAACCAAAAATCATAAGTAAAACTAGTAAAACGCCCAGCAAATAATTGATACTACGAGGCAATGTTCAAAAAAGTGGACCGCCTAGGCGGCCTAGAAGGTCTGGGCGCATCACCCAGGCCTAGGCGGCCAAACTGGGTGCAGTCCCTAGGCGGCCACCTAGGCGGTACGGAACCCACCTAGGTGGGCGGCCGCCTAAGGCCTGCGCCCCACCTAGGTGCTGAAATTTTTAATTTTTTTTAGTTGTATTGATTTTTTTAAAAATATAAAAGGTTTAAATGATGGTTTAGGTTCATTTCAAACCTAAACCCACAAGAACCCATTTTAGAGAGAAAGAAAACTCAAGAAAATTAAATTTTGTGACTTTCATTGGATCGAAGTGCTTAAGTTACGAAAAACGGATCCCAACATCACCCAAGTAGATTTGACTTAGTTTTGGAGTTTTATAATCCTATTAGAGGGTGTTTCTTATTATTTTAACACCAGAAAACATCTCAGAGGTGGGAGTTTGAAGTTCGAGCAATCAAAGTAAGTGCAAAAATTTATTTTTTAGATTGCTTGTTTTATTTTGAGATGTCTTCTTCAGGATCAAGTCGAAATGGAGATCCGGGTTGGAAATATCGATATAACCCGAATCCAAATGACAAAAATTGTATTAGATGCAATTTTTGTGAAAAAGATACGAAAGGGGCAATAAACCAGTTTAAGAAGCATCTTGCCGGTATTATGGGGGATGTTGCCCCTTGTAAAAGTGTTCCTGAAGCTCTCAGATAGGAGATTAAGCAATATATGAGTTTTGTAAAACAAAAACAAGAATAAAATCCTTGTCATTTGAATAGATCTATTTCTGCTATTTCTAGAAGAAGTGATCCAGGTTGGAAGTATGGTTATAACCGAAAACCAAATGATTAAAATTGTACAAGGTGTAATTTTTGTGAAAAAGATACCAATGGGGGTATTAACCGATTCAAGACACCTTGCTAGTATTAAAAGGAATGTTGCTTCTTGTAAAAAGGTTCCTGAAGCTATTCGGGATGAGATTAGACAACTTCTGAATTTAAAATAACCAAAAAATGATGAAAATGAGCCTTGTTCTACGAAAGTATCTTCTCCAGGTTCTTCCAGAAGTGATGATTCGGGTTGGAGGTATGGTTATAACCCAAATATGAATGACAAAAATCGTATTAAATGTAATTATTGTGGAAAGGATACTAATGGGGCATTTACCGGTTTAAAAAATACCTTGTTGATATTAAGGGAGATGTTGCTCCATGTAAAAATGTTCCTGAGACTACCAGGGAGGAAATTATACAATATTTGAGTTCAGGGAAGTACAAAAAGATAGAAAAGGGTAGAGCAGCCAAGACTCTTAGGGCCTCATCTGCACATACTAGTAAGCGCGAGATAGAAGAAGAGGAGGAACAGGCAGATTCAGAAGAAACAAAAGAAGACGAGCATTATATTGAAGAGGGAGATGACTCTGATGATGATGGCCTCGATTTTGATGCATATGATGAAGCTAACCCTATTCCTTCTGATGATGATGACAGAAGACTCTTGGTGTTGAGTGTTGACTGTTGTGTTAAGCGTTGACTATTGTGTCCTAGACTGTATATTTTTTGAATTTTTGTATATTATCTTTTTCTTATTTTTAGTTTCTAGTTCTACTATCTCACTTTTGTGTGTACAATCTACAATGTATCGGACTATCAGTGTATGCTTGTATGGTTTTACTGTTTTAGTATTGTATGAAAGTATGGACAGTGGTCATATGGATTATCAAAATTCTCTTCGCAACTTCTATCCTTTTTTTTTAAACTGGGACTATGGTCTTATGGATTATCAAAATTCTTATGGATTATGGCCTTATGGATTATCAAAATCCTTATGGATTAATCATTATCAGTCATCAGTCACTCATCAATTTTTTCTTTTTTTCAACTGGGCCGCCTAGGCGCTGGGTGCCCTGGACCCCCATGGCCACTTAGGGGCGCCTAGCACTTTTTGAAACTATGCTAAGAGGCATATCGAATTTTCCAACATCTCTTTTTTTTTCTTATTTATTTTTCATGCATTTGTGGACATTGCACATGCCATGGTATGACAATATTTACAATGCAACAATAAGGGTGTTTTTCAATGATCATGGTACTTATCGCCCCATGGACATGTTAACCAAGACAACAATCATTCACCCATACATCTTAAAAGAAAATATCTAAACAAGGCCACCCCAAGAAACATCCTTTTTGCAGCTATTAGTAGTTCTTGGCCTTGACTTCATGTGATTGTATGGCACAATAATAAGGTTGTCCATATGATGGGGGGCTACCAAGTAACGACCCATATTTGCCTAATCCCAATCATCGTCATCATCATGATCACCACCACCATCTAAGTTTTATCCCAACTATTTGGGGTCTGCCTGATCCTACTATCAAATTTATTTGATGCATATTGCGCAATGTATATTAGGGTTAAGCGTGTATAAAGAGGAATAAAATCTAAACTCCAAAATTAATGCAGGTAAGTCAAAGAAGTATTTTCAGGAACTACTGATGAATGTGAATAATTGGGAGAGATTATTAACGACTTGAAAAAGGCAGAACATCTGTTCAGTTGTACAGGTTTATTCCCACAAATCAGTGTTTGAAAACACACCCTTGTTGTCTTTGACACGGGTGAGTTACTCAGGCTAGGGAGGCTGCCGAGCCCAAGGAAGGGTATTTGTACCTTGTACAGTATTTCGCTGGGTAAGGCATAGAATCACCAAGATGTAAAACGCAGATTTGGTAGGTGGGCGAACAAATACCTAGGTGGCCCTCAAGTGTTTTTTTTTTTCTTTTTTCCCTTTTTTGTTTTGTTTGTTTTTGAGTGTGTGTGTGGGGTGGGGGGGGGGGGGTCCACATTGGGAGCTTCC